ATAGTGTTACACTGTGTATTATGTATATTGTTACACTGTGTGTTATTTATCATATTTCAAAGTCATCACCGAAACATCAGATCCACCTTGGGTTGTCAGTGCACTTCAACACGCTGCCCAGGACAGAGATTGAAAACAAGCTGTACTGAAAGTATATCTTCTGCTGCACACCCGTTTTCATTTTATGTATCAAGTTTTCAATCTCTGTTGATATGTCTTGGTGGTGACAAGTGGAAGCTGTGATTCATAGTCCTGGGGCTTCCAAAACCGGTTTACTAAAGCACATAAGGTCACATGACATTTTTAATGTATTTCTTTCCGTTAAGGGAGTTACTGACGTACATTCAGGTGTGCACTCTTTGTGTAAATCCACTTATCGAAGTCGCATCTTATAACTATTACATCTCCAATGCTGCTCGTTAAACAACAACAAAACCCTGTGGACACCAAAACCAGCGGCATCGTTCAGCGCAATAATGTACCCCAAGCCCCGCCCATAATAGTAGTAACCAATCAGGAAACAGCCAGTCAGTATGCTAGTGGGCGTGGAAACATAAACGCAATAATATTGCTTGCTCGGGCGTAAATATACTTAATCATTTGACTTTTGGAAGTACTTGATTACTGGCAACCGTTGTCCGGTGTCGTTGATGAAGTGGGCATCCAACGAAACATTATCATGTCATGGATTGGCAGGGCTACTTTGAGGACAATCGGCCTAAGCAGCGTCGAGGCGTGCTGTTCCCACAGGACATGTCAACGGCCAGCTAAATGACCGGACCTGTCCTCCCAGCACACGCTGATGGGCATTTCAACCAGTGAGGCCACTTTACCCCTGGCGTCTGAAATACACCAGGAATGTATTGGACCCTGCTACTTACAATAGCTTTGACGAATACCCCCTGCGGGTTATTCACTGAAACAAATCCCCTATGCTCAATTCGTCTTCATGAAACCGTAGCTAATGATTCAGCTGCTGACATGTCACTGTCGGACAGCATCAGATGGAAGTCAATGGCTAAGGTGAAATGTCAGCAGGTCAACGACGGTAGTGGGAAGCATATACTAGTATGCCTACACACGCGGCAAACACATGGGTTACATGTAGTAGCGAGTCGGGGACGTGATCACAGTGTCAACACCGCCATGTTGTCCCTGACAGTGATACCGCCTGATCAAACACTCCTGTCCCTGAAAGCTGAAAGACCCACAGCGACAAACAGTGAATGACTGCATTGACTTAGCAGGAGATGTTTTGAAGTACCTATGAACAGGCCTGCTGGAGCAGTGCCCCACAACCTTTTCCCACTGAAATGTTTTTTGTCAACAAATTTTTACAAGTCGAATTTTGCTCAACCCTCCAACGATTGGCCAACATTTACATACATACAGGGTATTTGCTGCGAAACCCAATTTAGAACCAATATACTTTATACATATGTTTAGATTTAATAATATGCTTTTTAGTTTTTCTTGTGACTTAATTGGCTCTCGTGAAGATCCTGAATCAGAACACACACACCCTCCCCTGTTCACTGAAGACTGCCCTCGACCTGTTGATTAACGTATTAAAACATATGTGAATTCTAACTACTCAGAAACAGTTATCAGAGACGTCAACACAATGGAGCCTTGAGAATCTAAGGGAAGGTTTAACTCAAGAGTGAGTGAGTGAGTAAGTTGGGTGAACGCCGCTTTTAACAGTATTCTAGTTCGGCGTGTCAGCTTTATGTGGGAGGAAAGCCCGAAGTGATGCAGGTCTCAGACGTTTACCACTTCGGTGAAACCCACGTGCACGGGTATGGTGCTGACAAACCTAGAAAATTAATCGGGGCAAACCGGGATTCGGACCCACAATCATATGTTTCTGGCATGCCCAAGGGACGCAACTCTGCAAAGCGAATCGCGGCGTCTTAGACGACTGGGGCACCTGTGCCCCCGTTTACCTCAAGACAAGTGCTTTCGCGAACAACACAGCCAGCGCGAGGCGATGCTTTCAGACAGTGTTTTCAGTGCACACCGACCTTTTCATTGAGGGATAGTGTTTAGACAAGCTCTGCACCTCACAAAGCATGTTAGGTGGCCGCGCCACGCTTTCACGAACACTGTTACTTTCTTGTCAAGCTGTTCAAAATGAATACAATCCTAAACATTTTTTAATTGCTCTCTGGTGTTGTGGAACTTTTTTGAGGTGAGATCAGTGTCAGAGAAAACATTTGCTGTACTGTTTATATCCCACCAAATAAACACGACGGCTGGTGCAAATGTGACGCAACATGGCCTTCGGTGGAGGGGGGTCGTTTACTACACCCAGCGTGTAGTTTGTTTGTTTGTTTGTTTGTTTGTTTGTTTGCGGTGTAACGCCGCACTCAGCCATATCCCCGCTTCATGACAGTGGTCTGTACATTTTCGAGTCTGGATCAGACAATTCAGTCGTTGATACCACAAGCATCGATCTACACAATTTGTATGCGATGACATGCATCAAAAAAGTCACGTTACAACCCTCACGCGTCACGTTACAACCCTCACGTATTCACAGTTTGGCAAACGGCTACGTGACCAACGGCGACGTAACATGTCCTTGCCACATCATCACTTCATATAACCCCTGTCGTCACTGTTGGTCACGTCATATAACCCCTGCCGTCACTGTTGGTCACGTCATATAACCCCTGCCGTCACTGTTGGTTACGGCATATAACCCCTGCCGTCACTGTTGGTCACGTCATATAACCCCTGCCGTCACTGTTGGTCACGTTATAAAATCCCTGCCGTTACTGTTGGTCACTTCATATAACCCCTGCCATCTCTGTTGATCACGCCATATAACCCCTGCCGTCATTGTTGGTCACGTCATATAACCCCTGCCGTTACTGTTGGTCACGTCATATAACCCCTGCCGTCACTGTTGGTCACGTCATATAACCCCTGCCGTCACTGTTGGTAACGTCATATAACCCCTGCCGTCACTGTTGGTCACGTCATATAACCCCTGTCGTCATTGTTGGTCACGTCATATAACCCCTGCCGTCACTGTTGGTTACGGCATATAACCCCTGCCGTCACTGTTGGTTACGGCATATAACCCCTGCCGTCACTGTTGGTTACGGCATATAACCCCTGCCGTCACTGTTGGTCACGTCATATAACCCCTGCCGTCACTGTTGGTTACGGCATATAACCCCTGCCGTCACTGTTGGTCACGTTATAAAATCCCTGCCGTTACTGTTGGTCACTTCATATAACCCCTGCCGTCACTGTTGGTCACGCCATATAACCCCTGCCGTCATTGTTGGTCACGTCATATAACCCCTGCCGTCACTGTTGGTTACGGCATATAACCCCTGCCGTCATTGTTGGTCACGTTATAAAATCCCTGCCGTTACTGTTGGTCATGTTATAAACTCCCTTCCGTCACTGTTGGTAACGTCATATAACCCCTGCCGTCACTGTTGGTTACGGCATATAACCCCTGCCGTCACTGTTGGTCACGTTATAAAATCCCTTCCGTTACTGTTGGTCACGTTATAAAATCCCTGCCGTCACTGTTGGTCACGTCATATAACCCCTGCCGTTATTGTTGGTCACGTCATATAACCCCTGCCGTCACTGTTGGTCACGTCATATAACCCCTGCCGTCACTGTTGGTTACGGCATATAACCCCTGCCGTCATTGTTGGTCACGTCATATAACCCCTGCAGTCACTGTTGGTCACGTCATATATCCCCTGCCGTCACTGTTGGTCACGTTTTAACTCCCTGCCGTCAATGTTGGTCACGTCATATAACCCCTGTCGTCACTGTTGGTTACGTTATAAAATCCCTGCCGTTACTGTTGGTCACGTCATTCAACCCCTGCCGTCACTGTTGGTCACGTCATACAACACCTTCGGTCACTGTTGGTCACGTCATACAACCCCTGCCGTCACTGTGGGTCACGTTATGTAACCCCTGCCATCACTGTGAGTCACGTCATACAACCCCTGCCGTTACTGTTGGTCACGTCATACAACCCCTACCGTCACTGTTGGTCACGTCATATATACCACTTTAACATAACACGTCAAAGCACGAAAATAACCAGACTCAACCATGCGCCGAAATAGACTCCATTTGGCGTAATAGGCAATACAGCTGTGAAAATCGGTGATGACACCGGGTGATCGCGAAAAGGGTAAGCATGTCCTGCCCTACGGGGAGCACCCGCCACTTTTGCACAATTTGCATAAAAAAGTAAGCGTTTGTAGCCTGACGTCGCGCAGCAGTACACCTGCCACACGACGCTGGGCTGTGAACAAACCAGACAATCAAGTGATGGAGAAAAACAATTCAAGTGAGCCGATGGAACTTTAACTGATTCTCTTGAAAGCCACTTGCAGGCCGTATGACTCACATCCTAACATTGCCGTCCGTATGAGTCACATCCTAACATTGCCGTCCGTATGACTCACATCCTAACACTGCCGTCCGTATGACTCACATCCTAACATTGCCGTCCGTATGACTCACATCCTAACATTGTCGTCCGTATGACTCACATCCTAACATTGCCGTCCGTATGACTCACATCCTAACATTGTCGTCCGTATGACTCACATCCAAACATTGCCGTCCGTATGACTCACATCCTAATATTGTCGTCCGTATGAGTCACATCCAAACATTGCCGTCCGTATGACTCACATCCAAACATTGCCGTCCGTATGACTCACATCCTAACATTGTCGTCCGTATGAGTCACATCCTAAAATTGCCGTCCGTATGATTCACATCGTAACATTGCCGTCCGTATGAGTCACATCCTAACATTGCCGTCCGTACGACTCACATCCTAACATTGCCGTCCGTATGACTCACATCCTAACATTGCCGTCCGTACGACTCACATCCTAACATTGCCGTCCGTATGACTCACATCCTAACATTGCCGTCCGTATGACTCACATCATAACATTGCCGGCATTGTTGTAACAAGAGAAGCATACAATGTAACTTACTTCATAAGCACTGGTAACCTTAAGGTTGTAGAATATCGGAATGAAGATGTGAGCAGCTCCGGCAACGACGAAGAAGTAGGAGAGACCGATCCAGAAGTACATCGTCGTGAAGTTGTACATCTCCGCCGGCGCCCCAAGCAACGTGATCGCCGACATGAAGCTCGCCAACAACGATAACGCCACGGGAATTGGGTTCATATCCTTCCCTGCCATGAGAAACTGGCGGATATTATTCTTTTTTCTGTCGCGGATGGCGTAGAAGATACCGATGGAGGCGGATATGGCAAGGATGCCGCCGAAGATGACATAGTCGACAACGTGGAAAGTGTTTCGCTTTCCAGTTTGGTAACTGTAGCCTTCCGCCATGATGAAGGACGGAAAACCAGGCACGGGGAGATGTTTCCGTCTCTACTGCCACACAAGTACACGCATGGACTGAACAAGTATGAATTTGTCCAACCTAGAACCCGTTTTTTACTTTCCAGACAGTCGCAAAACACGCGACAGCAAACTACTGTTGTCGTGAAACCGATCCTTCTGAATTTGATGCAGGTTTATTTCAAAGATTTTGTTTCGTTACGCTCTGCTTCGTGATGTGCATGGCGCTTACCCCATACGCTGAATCCTCCCTGCCCCCGAATTCACGTTTGCCCCTCCCCTCTCAATATACCTGTCACTTTACCTGCCACTTCACATTTAGCGTTGTCTGCGCACCTTAAGAGGTTTGATTGACGTGTGCCCCGAAGGCCTCCTCGTACATCACGTGACACACCTGTGACAGATATGCATGTTATTGTACTCTTAACGTGTCAATATATTTCTCAGTGTTCCTTGTGTAATGGCTAACGACTTATTTATTTCTAGTTCACGTCTAAGCGTGTTAACAAGTATGGTTGTGAATGTTGACTGTGAACGTGGTCCTTTCGAATGCCCATTGACCTTGGCCCGAGAGTCATTCAACTCTCACCTGAACATGATGGTATTCAAGATCGAATGGCTAGCAGCTCGGACCGAGTACGGCCTTGGTCTAGTTCTCCTCGGCAAACAAGAGTACGAGAGGACAGTCTTTAAAGAGACCCCCACTGCCACGTCCCTGCTCGGCCCCCTCGTACAGCCAGACTCACTTGGACTGAAATACCACCACATGACATTCGACTTCACCAGGCCATTGCCCAGAGCCGAATATAGAACCAACTACCTTACCCCACACTGAGCAAACGGTCTAATCTGTCTAAAGACAGAAGCATTTGTCCGTCTCTCTACATAACCAACGGCCTTACCCGACAAAGAGCCGGCTGCCTGACCCTATACCTAACCAACCGCCTGACGCCATACATAACCAACCGTCTTACGTTGTACATAACCAACTGCCTTACCACACACAGAACTGGTTGCCTGACCCTACATCTAACCAACCGCCTGACGCCATACATAACCAACCGTCTTACGTTGTACATAACCAACTGCCTTACCCCACACAGAACTGGTTGCCTGACCCTACATCTAACCAACCGCCTGACGCCAAATATAACCAACCGTCTTACGTTGTACATAACCAACTGTCTTACCCCACACAGAACTGGTTGCCTGACCCTACATCTAACCAACCGCCTGACGCCATACATAACCAACCGTCTTACGTTGTACATAAACAACTGTCTTACCCCACACAGAACTGGTTGCCTGACCCTACATCTAACCAACCGCCTGACGCCATACATAACCAACCGTCTTACGTTGTACATAACCAACTGCCTTACCCAACACAGAACTGGCTGTCCGACCCTATACCTAACCAACCGCCTGACGCCATACATAACCAACCGTCTTACGTTGTACATAACCAACTGCCTTACCCAACACAGAACTGGTTGCCTGACCCTATACCTAACCAACCGCCTGACGCCATACATAACCAACCGTCTCTCGTTGTACATAACCAACTGCCTTACCCCACACAGAACTGGCTGTCCGACCCTATACCTAACCAACCGCCTGACGCCATACATAACCAACCGTCTTACGTTGTACATAACCAACTGCCTTACCCCACACAGAACTGGTTGCCTGACCCTACATCTAACCAACCGCCTGACGCCATACATAACCAACCGTCTTACGTTGTACATAACCAACTGCCTTACCCAACACAGAACTCGTTGCCTGACCCTATACCTAACCAACCGCCTGACGCCATACATAACCAACCGTCTTACGTTGTACATAACCAACTGCCTTACCCAACACAGAACTGGTTGCCTGACCCTATACCTAACCAACCGCCTGACGCCATACATAACCAACCGTCTTACGTGATACATAACCAACTGCCTTACCCAACACAGAACTGGTTGCCTGACCCTATACCTAACCAACCGCCTGACGCCATACATAACCAACCGTCTTACGTTGTACATAACCAACTGCCTTACCCCACACAGAACTGGCTGCCTGACCCTATACCTAACCAACCGCCTGACGCAATACATAACCAACTGGCAATGGTGGCCGAGAGGGGACATCGCTTTCTCGCTTTCTCGTGGTAAAACAATATCGCCTCTTGACCACTATAGGGGTCGCATGTGTTATCTGTTTCAATTGGGAGGGAGTGTCGATATTTGTATTTTACAAACGTAGGTGATTTAAGACAGTTCACGGATTTATGCGTAAAATGTAATTGATTTAGGAGTTTTATGTGACCATCACATGGCGGGTCATGACACTATGCTCTAGATAAATCAGGTTAAATTCTAAATATATACTTTTCAAAAGACGTTAAAGAACACCCGATTCTTTCATATGACTATGGTTAATCAGTCATGGCTTATTGTATTGCAAAACACAGTGTAATAATTGTGGGTGTTATTTAACTTGTTTTCAGACGGGACTCAGTACTTTACCAAAAAAGTGTTATCCCAAATATAACATTTGTTACATTTGACCACTTCATAATTGGAATTGTTGGTTCATAGCTTTCAGCCATGGGAGCCGTGCCAATTTACACTTGTCAGAGGGGTAAACAAAGTACGTGATCTAGACTATCAGTTGTCGGACTCATTTTGTGGATGGCTCGGTGGCTGAGCCGATTAGATGGCTGACTTTGTGTGCTGGCGATTAGGTGCCTCACTTTGGCGGTGTGGGTTTCGAATCCTAGAACGAGAATCTGTACTTAACCAAAAAGTTGTTATCCCAAATATAACATTTATTACATTTGACCACTTTCTAAATGGCTTTGTGTGTTCATCCCACAAAAGGGGCAATTAAGTTTCGCAAATAATCCGCTGAATTTCTTGTGGAGTTTTTGCGAAATAAAGTAAAAGTAAAAGACTTTCTGTTGTAGTATGTGGAAAATCTTTCTAATTTACTACACCGAAAACTATGCGAGATAGCATTCTGTATCTATGTCTAACATATATATCCACTACAAAGTGTTGAAATATTCTAGGTTTAAGAGGCATAATAGCGGTGAGAATTATAGGAATGGATCGCTTGAACACTTTTTAATGTTCGGCATTAAGGGTGATATCGCTTTCTCGCTTTCTCGCTTTCTCGCTCTATCGTTTTCTAGTCATATGAAAGAATCGGATGTTCGCAGACTTCTTTTGAATAGTATATACTGTAAATCTTGAAATTTAATGCGAAAATAACGAGTGGACTTAATAATTTAAACTTTGCATTTATATGTCAGAAATGACTGTTGATAAGATGGCATCACAGCACGCTTTGAATAGCGGAAATGCCAACTTGAATGTAAAAACAAACAACTATCTAATTCCACATCAAGGTTTATGTCATTCAAACACTAGAACTCACATAATGGACGTCCGGTGTGTTATCATTGCTCGGGTGAGGACAACTCACTCGTGTCAAACTAGGTATCAGTGAATACTCCACCAAGTCCAGATAGACGCCACCCTCGCAACACCCCCTCCCCCCTTTCTCCCAAAATGAAGAAAACAACAGCGACTTATTTTTCACAAAATTGTACACGTGCACATCTCTGTGCATATAAGTCTGCATGTTTATACTTCTACATGTACAAAATTGTATATATATAATGTTACTGTATGTATATGGGCCTATGGCCAGAATACAATAAATGATGATGATGATGAACAGCATGCAAACCACCACCCCCACCACCCCCACCCTACACCACTCCACCCTACACCACCCCACCCAATACAAAACCAATTGTCTTACGCCATACCTCACCAACCGTCTTACCCCATACAAAACCGGCTTCCTGACTATATACATAACTAACTGTCTGCTGACCTTAACAGAATCAAAAGTCTGACCCTGTACATCTCCAAATGTCTTGCCATATACACAACTAACCATCTGACCCTATACTCAACCAACCATCTGACCCTATACACAACCAACCATCTGACCCTATTCTCAACCAACCATCTGACCCTTTACACAACCAACCATCTGACCCTATACACAACCAACCATCTGATCCTATACAAAACCAACCACCTGACCCAGTACACAACCAACTATATGACCCTATACCAAACCAACCACCTGACCCTATAAACAACAAACCACCTGACCCTGTACACAACCAACCACTTGACCCTGTACACAACCAACTATGACCCTATGCATTACTAACCATCTGACCCTATACACAACCAACCATCTGACCCTGTACACAACCAACCACCTGATCCTAAACACAACAAACTATATGCCCCTATACTCAACCAACCATCTGACCCTATACACAACCAACTATGTCCCTATGCATTACTAACCACCTGACCCTATACACAACCAACCACCTGACCCTTTACACAACCAACCACCTGACCCTTTACACAACCAACTATGACCCTATGCATTACTAACCATCTGACCCTGTACACAACCAACCACCTGCCATGTACACAACCAACCACCTGACCCTGTTCACAACCAACAATATGGCCCTATACACTACCAACCATCTAACCCTATACACAACCAACTATATGACCCTATACACAACCAACCACCTGACCCTATACGCAACCAACCACCTGGCCCTATACACAACCAACTATATGACACTAAACACAACCAACTATGACCCTATGCATTACTAACCATCTGACCCTATACACAACCAACCATCTGACCCTGTACAGAACCAACCACCTGATCCTATACACAACCAACTATATGACCCTAAACACAACCAACCACCTGACCCTATACACAACCAACCATCTGACCCTATACGCAACCAACCATCTGACCTTATACACAACCAACTATCCCACACAATACAAAACTAAGAACAGGATGTCGCAATCATCGCTCAGAAGTAGGTGGCAATCATGTCAGTAGAAGGTGGCCGTCATCTGTCAGTAGAAGGTGGCCATCATCTGTCAGTAGAGGGTGGCAATCATCTGTCAGTAGAACGTGGCAATCATCTACCAGTAGAAGGTGGCAATCATCTGTTAGTAGAAGGTGGCAATCATCTGTCAGTATAAGGTGGCGAACATCTGTCAGTAGACGAGGGCAATCATCTTTCAGTAGAAGGTGGCAATCATCATTAATCATCTGTCAGTAGAA